TCAGGCAGCCTGCCTCCGGGGACTTGTTTTTAAATAACGGATGGGGGTGGGGCGGGCTGGAGGAGGTTAAGGGTTGGGGGAGGGAACCCATGCCATACGTTCAACAATAAAGATAAACAAAACTTATGGGAGGCACGTGGAGTAGAGGTCAGAGGTCAAAATAAATAAACGAATAAACGAACAAATAACTAGATATAAAGTTTCAATTTCGACTTGCACTAATTAATTAGATTACATATCCATGGTTTCAAGTATAATTTTAGCCATAGTTATAGAAGCCATGTGTTGAGCATTTACACTGTGCTTTACAGACGTTTAAAAATGTCTCTCCCCTTACATTTTGTATGAAGAAACAGGCTGAGAGCTGAGTAACCTGCCTGGAATCACGCAGCAACGTTCACGACGAAGTTGAGATGTGAACCCGTCTCTCTCATTCTGAAGACTGTGCAGCTAAATGTGACCGTATGCCAACCTGATGATTTCAGCTCAAAGTCACTCTATGGAAACAGTGCTGTTTATTCCGACTCTGGTTCTAAACTCAGCCCAGTTCAAGTCCCTGCGATTTACCTAGAATTGCTGCATTCAGGTGTATATGTGGTACCTACACACTTACAGACAAACATGATTGTTCACATTCTCATATCAGCCGAAACCATGGTAACTGAACAAAATAACTACGATCCAATTTTTAAACATAAAGAAAATCCCACTGAAGGAGAAAAGTGATCATTTGCCATAGAAAATTCAATGACATGAAGTTTACTCCATGTCTAAAATAAAAACTGACAGTTGGTGATGAAAGATCACTGGTACCTACGACCCAGTGATCAAACCTAGGGGTGCTTCCTGCCGTCTGGGGTCCCAACTGAATGCCTGGGTGTTCACCAAAGTCTCTCCCGTTTGACTGGGCACACATCCCTAGCGTTCTCTGACCTCTGACCTCTACTCCGCGTGCCTCCCGTGGCTGGTTCCTCAGAGGACCCTGTGTGTCTGAGGCTCAGAGTAAACCAAGGGGACATGGGGCCTGCACACAGACTTTGTGACTTACCTGCCTGCAGCTCTCAGCTGTGTAGCAACCCACCCACCCACGGCTCCTTAGTCCCTGAGTTTTGGCCTTAGTCCCTCTGACCAGAGAGCCTCCCTGCAGAGCTGGCGTTTGGAAGATGCTCTCTGGAGAAAGCGAGGGTGCCGTGAGCCTGGTGTGTGCGTCTCTTCTCTCCCGGACCACAGGCTGCTTGTTGTCAAAGGCCTGCACAGAGCAGGCTGGAGTGTTTACTCAGCTTTTCTCTTTATCAGTTTGAGCCCAATGTCGTCCATCCCATCGTGGCCAGAATATGCTGGTGGTTTTCATGCTGAGAACACGTGTCCGTTGGCTGCAGGAGAACTGACTCTTTGGAGGGCCTCCTGCCTCCTGGCTTCCTGTGGGGTTGTCCTGCCAGGGCCTGGAGCTCTCCCGGGCCAGCTCAGTGGTGACCAGGTGGTCTGCCGGACCCACGTCCGTCACCCTGTTCTGGCCACAACTCAGTGTGGGGGCTTCTCAAGGCCCCTGCACTGGGCCGCAGACCACAGCACCCCCGACCCAGGAGGCTTCCCAGTGCTTTGGCCAGTCCCACAGTGACCCCAAGGAGGAAAGGCCTGGAGGCCTGGTCACTTCCCTGATTTCCATCTTCTCAGAGCACTTGACCATCACCCACATTCTGATGCCTTTGGGATGGACAAGTCGATGTGTACATGCTTGACAGACACACCAAGCACGTAAAGCTGTCCAGCTTCTCCGCTCGTCTTCAAATCTTCAGCAGGAGGAGGCCAGACCGAGAGCAGCTCTGCGTGCTTCCCGGCCCGATGGCGCCGCTCCAGGTGCAGGAGGTGCAGTGTCTCCGTCACTGCTCAGCCCTGCTGTCAAGGCACAAACACCCCACAACAGCGCGGGCGGGTGTGACGGCTCCCCGCCCTCTCTGGGCACCAGGCCCTGGGCCAGGCACAGGCTGAAGCCCTGACCTAGAGGACCTCCCAACCCTACTCTTGACCTCAAGATGTTTTCAGTACAGTCTCCTCGTCTCTGCTGCTCTGACGCACACGCTGTATCTAAGATTTATTTAGCATCTTCCTCACCTGGGCATGTGATGTCTGTTTCATAGAGACTTTAAATGCCCGAGAAGAAAGGATGTCTCAGTCACTGCTGGAGTCGGGGCTGAGAAAGTGCTGTGTGATGTGAAATTATATTTTTAAACTGTCAAGGCAAGATACTTTACAAGCTTCTTGACAGCTTGGGAATGAGAATTCTCAAGGAGTAATCTGTGCTTTAGGTTTGAACCAATTAAATTACAAGAGGGGAGAGTAGGCATTAAAATATATTACAAAGGTTTCTTATTTAAAGGTTGTGAACACATACGTTCAAATATCCACCTCTGGTTATTTGGAGTTTCTTGGTTCTGGGAGTTACCTTGCTTTCTGCTCAGGCGTTCAATCATTATACTTCAAACCCCAGCCACCCACGACCTTTCCTAAGGCGGAGGTGCTTTCAGAACCACTTTCTATGTGTGAACAGTGTCTGCCTTTTCCTAAGATTCACTCAGTGATTAAGAGCCAAGCACGGAGAGGCTTTCAGAAGGAAGACGGAGAAGGAAAGGGGCAGGGGCTGCTCCGAAAGCCGAGAGCCTCAGCGCCGAGCTCTGGAAGGGGTGAATTATATCCTCGAGTCAAGAAAACATGTTTCAGACTTAAAAGCCTTGAGCTTAGCTTTGAGTTTGAAATGTTTATCTACATAAAAATAGTGGTAATGCATTGGGAGTTCTAGAATTAACATGAATCATGTTTTCTTGATGTTTACTTTAATTTGCTTTTACTTGGTTATGCTATTTCTCCTTTGTAGTTTAAAATAAAACTATTGAAAATGTTAGAAGTAATGTCATTTTAAAAAATGGTTCCTTTTTTTGGATATGAAAATGGAAAATCTCTGGTAATAAAGTAACATCCAGCCTTGGCTAGCGTGGGAGTGAACACGAGTGAACATGGGTGCGAATCTTTCTGTAGAACAATTTGTGAGGGCAGAGCGAAAGCTTTGGAAAGAAATCGTAGACTCTTTAACCCAGAACTCTGATTTCTAGGCACATATCTCCAGGAAACAATTGAGGAAATTTAGTTTAAATGCTGTTACGACACACCCATAAACATGATGCTGTAGAACGACTCGTTCCCCCACTTGCCTCTGAGCCCCACACCTCGCTGTCTGTGAAGTGCTTGAGGGCCGATGGTGACGGTGATGGAGCTGGTGGTGACAGCAGGAAGCACTTATTAAGAATTAATTAGGTGCTTGACATACTGGGTACTCTGCACATTAACTCATTTGCTCTAACCCTCATAACCACTTTATGAAGCCGGTGGCTTTATTACTTCCCTAGTTTAAGTTAAGGACGTGAGAAGGAGGGACTTGTCTAAAGCAGTGGTCGGCAAACTGCGGCTGGAGAGCCACATGCGGCTCTTTGGCCCCTTGAGTGTGGCTCTTCCACAAAATACCACGTGCGGGCGCGCACATACAGTGCGATTGAAACTTCGTGGCCCATGCGCAGAAGGCGGTATTTTGTGGAAGAGCTGCGTGGGTCCTCTCGGGGGGACTGAGAGACGGGCTGCTGGTCAGGACCTGCCTCAGGCCTCAGCCCAGCACTCTCTGCTCACGTCCTCGGCGACCAGGGCCTCAGCACTGGCGTGCCCTGCATTTCATACATTATTCTGTTTCTGGACCTTTGCTTTTCCCCTGCAGCCACGGGCTGACTGCAGGATCAGTGACTTCCCAGGATGCCATTGGGTTTTGTTTGGAATCTGCTCAGAGATTCCAAGTTTCTCAGGGTGCAAACCAGGACAGAGTCCTGTTTCTTACTGTTGGATGGATCTGCTAGCTCCACCCACTAATTTGATTATGTCCCTAACATCAGTGCTTCTGTGTTGATCGGCTCTGCCTGAGGCTGACACCCTCCAGGCCCTGTGCCCCAAGGGCTCAGAGTTCAGAGGGCACTTGCCCAGTGGCCCAGGCTCAGCTGGACCCAGCTGAGCCAGAGATGTTGCTAGTGGAAATGAGGCCCGTTCACTGGGCCCTGAGAAAAACATTTCGGAGACGCACATAGGGGAAGTTGTACGGTTTATTGAAGCTGGACAAAGGACTGCCCCAGGTTCAGCTCCATCCTGCCCTGAAAGAAGTCCAGCCTTGTCTTCCTTAGGCCAAGAAATGGTGCCAGTGTCCAAAACTTCTGTGCCATCAGTCCATCCGTATCAGTCCCGCTGGGCCCCGCTGGCTTAGTCTGTGCTCCCTGCTGCACTGTGGCGGCACTGTGTCCAGGCCCGTAGTTGGAGTCCACGCATCTGCCGCTGGCCAAGTAAGGCCACATGGACATTATGGAGAGAAAGAGAGAGAGAGGAAGAGGGAGAGAGAGAGGAGAATGAGAGAGAGTGGGAGAGAGAGGGGAATGAGAGGGATAGAGGGGGGAGAGAGAGAGAGGGAGAGGGGGGGAGAGAGGAGAATGAGAGAGAGGGGAGAGGGGAATGAGAGGGAGAGAGAGAAGAGAATGAAAGAGAACTTCATTGTTAAGCTGGGATTATATTATGGGAAGGACCAATCAACTTCCCAGTCTTGGGAGGGCTGGCATTGGGTCCTTCCCCCTAACCAATCCATATCCTAGGTCTTCTGGGGGGTTCTATATCCCTTATCCAATCCAATCCTTTTCCCATAGTAGGCTCCACCCACTATGGACGCAGTCTTTGTTCCTACTGTGCAGACGGAGTAGGAGCACCTCCCCCTGGTCCCTTGGCTTCCAGAGGACATCCCTGCGTTGCTCCATCCTTCCCCCAGCAGCGCAGGGGTGACCACGGCTCCCTGGGGAGTGTGCGCAGCTGTAGCTTCCTGGTGGACCAGCTTCTCAATGTCTGGCTCCCTTCGTTCCCTCCTCTTCCACTCTATCGAGCTAATCAGGTTCTGGAAGAAACATGCCTCTGATTTATCTTCATAGAAAAGAAACAGCATGTGGCCAGGCGGCTGCTGAATTTCCCGGAGCAAACAGGACGTGGGGGGGGGGAAGAAGGTATGAGCTGGGCACATGGCCGTTAGCACATGTCCTAGGAAGATTCCCCTAGACCCGTGGTCAGCAAACGGCGGCTCATGAGTCACATGCGGCTCTTTGGCCCCTTGAGTGTGGCTCTTCCTAAGCCTTAGGAGCACCCTAATTAAGTTAATAACAATGTACCTACCTGTATAGTTTAAGTTTAAAAAATTTGGGTCTCAAAAGAAATTTCAATCGTTGTACTGTTGATATTTGGCTCTGTTGACTAATGAGTTTGCTGACCACTGGCCTAGACCAGTCCAGTGGTTGGCAAACTGCAGCTCGCGAGCCACATGCGGCTCTTTGGCCCCTTGAGTGTGGCTCTTCCACAAAATACCACGTGCGGGCGCGCACATACAGTGCGATGGAAACTTCGTGGCCCATGCGCAGAAGTCGGTATTTTGTGGAAGAGCCACACTCAAGGGGCCAAAGAGCCGCATGTGGCTCGCGAGCTGCAGTTTGCCAACCACGGCCTTAGACAAAGGGAGGGGGAGGCGACTAGAAAAGGCCCCAGCACATTTTTTAAAACACCCCAATGGGAGACAGCAAGACCTGGGCGACCTATTAGGAAACAGTCCTAATAGTCCTCAGCCAATGAGGAGCCGGAGCAAGGACTGAATGAACAGGCTGTGATCCTGCCCCTGTACAATGGGCGCCTGCTCTCCAGAGTGTTAGTCAGTCTTATGTCGCCATGCGTCTGTTTCCCAGTCACCAGGTGACATTTGGACAGGTGAGCCCTTCCTCACAGAGCCCAGGTCATCCAGGGCTGCTCTCCTTGCTGCCTGTGGTGGCCTCAGTGCAGGTGCCAGGCACGCTCAGGGAGGCGTGGCTTGTGTGAGGTCAGGTAAGGAAAGGGGTCTTAGGACAGGGCCTGAGCCAAGGACCCCAGTGGAGTAACTTCAGAAAGAGTTCCTGGAGAAGCTCGCCCAGCACAGGACCAGGGGGGTCAGTGGGGGCAGAGGGGGTCCTGTCCCCTGGCTGAGCCCACCAGGACTTAATTCCTCACCTGGGCCCAGCTCAGCCTCTCCAAGAAATTTTAAAGTAGTCCGCCTGGAATTTCCTCATCTGCCAGATGACTCCCTGCCATCCCGAAAGGGAAGGTGAGCTTGCCTGAAATTATCCACTCTTTTTTAAATTTAGTTTTATTTTTTTTAATTTATTGGAGTGACATAGGTTACTAAATTATACAGGTTTCAGCATCCATTCTGTAATACATTGTCTGTGTGTCTTGCATGTTCACCACCCACGTGAAAGGACCTCTCACCACTTCCTCCCACCCTTTCCAGCGGAGAAGCCCTCCCACTCGCACAGCCTCTCCAGCCCCTTCCAGCTCTGGACAAAACAGCCCAGCTCATAGCCATTTAGCAAAGCCAATGAGACCTCTGAACACTCGGCTGACTGTGCTCTTTAAGCAGCTGAACTTCTGTTTGGAATTTCCTTGGCCCTGCCTGATGGCGTGGCCCCAGGAACAATGGGCCCAGCGCAGGCAGCTGGTCCGCCACCAAACCAGCTCTGGCCCCACCGAAAAGTTTTCCGTTTTTAATTCATTCTTCTCATCCACAGACGAAGAGGACCCCGCCCAGCTCTGGTGGCGGGGACCCCTCCTGTCTCTCAGATCCGCCCCGGGGGAGGGGGAGGGGGCTCTCCCTCTGGGCTGGGCTTTCACAAAGGTTGGCCTTGGACTTCTCTTTCCCGCCCGCTCAGCCTCCACATTGTCTGTGTGGCAGGACCATTCTGTGGTGGGGGCGCCCTGCACATCCCTGGCCTCCACCCCCAAAATGACAGTCGTCTCTGGACACCCTCAGAGTCTTCTCAGGGCAAAACGGCCCCATCGGGAAGGCCAGTCTGGCCCCTGCTATGGGGGTGAAAACTTCCTCTATGCTCGTCTGGGGTTTTCACAGGCTGAGGCTGTGTCTTGGACCTTGCCCATGCCTCTGTCAACAAGCTCTTCATTCAACCCTGTTTTCTTTTTTTTTAATCCTATTTTTAAATTAATTAATTTTATTGAATTTATTGGGGTGACACTAGTTGATAAAATTATATAGGTTTCAGGTGTACAATTCTAAGTGCCTGCGTCTTAGGCATGGCCCAGGCACAGCCCATGTGGGAATCCTGCTGTCCTGTGAGTGGCGCCTGCAGAGGCCGCTGCCACCTGACCTTCCTCAGGATCTTCCGAGAGCACCGTCCTCGCACCCACTGTGCTGGAGCCCGGCTGGCCAACCACCCTTGGCCCCTCCCCCAGGCCACCAGTCCCCCAATTGGCCCCCCTATTTGGGGGTGGGGCCAGCTGGCTCACCATCCACAGCCCCTCCCCATGGCCGGCTCCACCCCCAATGGGCCCCCACCACCCCGATTGTCTCACAGCCCTTCCCCCCAGCCAGCTCTGCCCCCAATAGCCCTCTTCACACCAATCAGGGGTGGGGCTGTCCGGCCAACCTCCCATAGCCCCTCCCCCAGCTGCTGAGCCCTGATATCCTCCCAACCCCATTTGGGGGGTGGGACTGGCCAGCTCACCACCCACAGCCCCTTCCCATGGCCGGCCCCGCCCCCAACCGGCTCCCCCCACCTCAATTGGGGGTGGAGCCTGCTGGCCAACCTCCTGCTTTCTCCTCCCTGCAGGTTGGGCCCGGAACCGTGCTGATTGGGGCTGGGCTGGCTGGACCCCACCAGTGCATGAATTTGTGCACTGGGCCTCTAGTAAAACTATATTATTAAAATTGTTACCTTTTCTTTTTAATTTTCTAATGTAGTTACTAGAAAATTTTAAATTCCATACGCAGCTCTTACAGGGAACACATTCTATTTAAATGTATGGCTCTAACGTAGAGTCTGTGCATACACTTTTCTAGAGTGTGGGTTTGGAGAAACTCGCTTGTGCCAGAAATGTGTGTAACAAGGGTGCTCAGCGGGGAAGCCTGCACCAGGGGCTCATGTGTGAACATGTGGAGCAGAAGCACAGCCCAGTGAGTGTAAGGACCAAGGGCACTGCCCTCAGGATGGAGACTTGGCTGAGGGAGGCCAAGGTGCTCTGAGAAGCATTCGAAAGGCCAGGAGGGCAGCCCTGGGGCAGCCGTGGTTACGGAAGCCTGGCTAAGGTCAAGTCCTGCAGACCAGTGGTTGGCAAACTCATTAGTCAACAGAGCCAAATATCAACAGTACCATGATTGAAATTTCTTTTGAGACCCAAATTTTTTAAACTTAAATTATATAGGTAGGTACATTGTTATTAACCCAATTAGGGTGCTCCTAAGGCTTAGGAAGAGCCACACTCAAGGGGCCATGTGGCTTGCGAGCTGCAGTTTGCCGACCACGGCCCTAGACCATGTCACGTGAAAAAAGTGGACAACTCAGTGAGCTGTGCTAACAGTGCCCACTCTCACCCTGGCCAGTGCCTCAGTGGTTGGAGCATTGGCCCACACACCGAAAGGTCTCAGGTTTGATTCCTGGCCAAGGGCACATAACTGGGTTGTGAGCTTGATCCCGGCCCCCATCGGGGCGCGCTCGGGAGGCAGCCAATCAATGTGTCTCTCTCATATCTATGTTTTGCTCTCTCTCCCTCCCTCCCTCCCATCCACTCTCTTTGAAAAGCCATAGAAAAATATCCTCCAGTGCGGATTAGCAACAACAACAACACCATGCCCACTGCGCGCCTTTGGAGAGTCTCACAGTCATCGGCTCGTTACATGTTCTGAGAAGACCCACTGTGATGCTCTCAGCCCACTTTCCGAACGGACCTGCCTGCAGCCTGTTCTTCACACAATCTAATACCATCTGAAAGCATTCGGTTACCTTTTGTGGGAGATGCAAGACTAGATGACATATTAATACTCCACAGTTCTCTACTTCTAAACCAAAGGCTAGCGGGAAAAAAGGAGGGTTGAGGGCATTCATATTGTTGTAAGGTACCCCGCGAATCACAGAAGGACGCCTCAAGAAGTCGAATTAAAGAGTCACATTTATTGCAATCCGGGACTATGAGATGCAACAACAGGTACCGAACCCTTTCAGTACAATATCAATAAAATGGAAAGGGAAGAGATGTGTGGGGTGAGCAGCCCCATTTCATGTGAACAGAACAGAGTCCCAATGGATTTAAAAGATCTGAAGCAAAAACAAGTCCACATATTTCTCCTTAGCATCCTTGCCTTTCCCTCTTGCTTCTAACCAACAGAGTCCTGTGAAGCTGACGACCTACCGATTCCTGTTCGCATTACATAAGACGGCAACGTTTTTCTTGCCGCAGACTTTCTGTGGCTGTGATGAAGCATGTGGCAAGGAGTTTGGAGTGGCCTCCAGCCAGCAACCAGCTGGGAACTCCCGCAGCCTTCGGCTGACAGCCAGCAGGAAACTGCAGCGCTGAGTCGAACAGTCCAAGGCGCTGAGTCCTGCCACCCCCTGAGCTTAGAACCACATTCCTCCCCAGCCCACTTTCAGATGAGACCCTGGCTGACACCTCGACTGCAGCTGGCTCTTTACTGTAAAAAAAATTAAAAATCTTTAAATAATAGATTGGCTCATTATGAGCAATATAATTCCACTCATAAAATATCGATTTATGCACTGCTTTTAAAGGAGACTGTTGCTTCATGAGTTACTTGCATATTTGAAGAAGCCTTTGTCACATTCTAGCAATAGGAATGCTCAGCAGAAGGCAAGTGGGCTGATGGTGGAAGAAGCCATCAAGCTCATTAATGGAGGCAATTTCATTGAAAAACTTCAGTTTTATAATTATGTTTTGGTCAATTATGTACTAATAATAATTGTAATCATAACTCAATCTAGAAGACATTCTTTTTTTGTTAATTCTCACCTGAGGATATTTTTTTCATTGATTTTTAGGGAGAATGGAAGGGAGAGGGAAAGACAGAGAGAAACATTGATGTAAGAGAAACACATCGATTGGTTGCCTTCTGCACGACCAGGCACAGGCCGGGGAGGAGCCTGCAACTGAGGTGCATGCCCTTGACCAGAATCCAAGCC